CCCCCAAGGCTGCGGTTATTGGAGAGATCTGATTTCACAGGGTTACCAAGGAAAGACCCGTGTGTGTGTGTGTGTGTGTGTGTGTGTGTGTGTCACAAGGAACTGTTCTGAACCAGGAAGCTGTGACGCAGAACACTGTCATCGTAACTTCAGAGGTTGATACATATGGGTAGAGTAATTCCGTCGTCATCTGCACACACACTGCCAGCCCCAGTGCGTCATTAGTTCAGTGCCGCTGTGGCTGGTCAATTGATAGGGCTCGGAGAGAAGATTCCAAGATAGGTATGAACCCAAGTGTCAGGTGTGAACGCAGTTAGGTCACAAGTCATTCACTGCTGCTCTGGCTTTTTCAGTGGTCTCTCTTCTTTTTGGGGTGGGGTGGGGGGGAATGGGGTGCATGAAGCGGGGCAGTGGATATGTGTGTGTTTGGTTTTAATAATTGCTTATAACCCATATTTTAAAAAAAAGAAAATCTCTACTAAATGAAATTAAGGAACTTTACTTCTTCAACAAAGACATTTGTCTTCACATTCAGAAAGGTAAAGGTAGGTCCAGGGGTACATCTGGCTGTCTGCTTCTGAAAGGTCCCACCTTGAACTTCCCCTAGAGCAGGCCCGCTCTGCACACTCAGGTGGCCGTCAACAAAGCAGAGTAGCTTTTACGGTACCTCGGGGCCGTCAGGATGCACCTGGCCACATCTTTGTCTACATTCCTGGTTGATGTAGCTCAAGATGTGTGGACCACAAAGTGGTTCTGTTCATTGACTTGGATGTCAGGAGGAGCCCCCAGGCTGCTGGAACCTGTCTGGCTGCCTTTCGCATTCTGGCCCCAGCGCCTGCCCACCTACTCGCTGTGTGGCTTCAGAATGGGGGACCCCCCACCTTCAGCTTCGTTATGTTTAATCTGCACACACCATAATGTTCCCCACGTCAGGCTCCTTTGAAGATGAGATATAATGAGCTCATGAACTTAGCACAGTACTGAGTAGATATTCTCCCTCTTTCCTATTTCCTCTGTGCAGTAGGCTTTATAACATTTAACTGTACTTGAAAGAAGCTCTCCACGATCAAAGGTTCTGGCTATATAGGCCTTTGTATGAGGGGGCTTTGAAAAGTTCCCGGAAAAATTCCATCATCTTTTGAGTCTAGTTTTCCAAGGACTGCCTGAAGCTCCTTGTATGTATTCCTGTCCTGCAAAGAGGTGTTTTCAAGGAGTTCAGGGTGATAGAGAGGGGACACAGATGGTACAGAATGATCCTGTAGACCCTTCCCCCAGCCTCCCCTAACAGTTCCTGCGCCTTTAAGCACAAGGCCATCTTCCCTAACCTCAGAGCTATCGCCTCTCACCCGAGTGCCCTCTTCCTAACCACACTACCATCGTGTGTAACTGAGCACCCTCGTCCCTAACAGTGGTGCCTCCTCCTCTCCCTGCAGCACTCGGGTCGAACTGGCACAAGAGCCATGGTCCAGTACTGAGAGCAGCATCACTGGCTACGGCACCCTGCCCACTTTCTAATCCAGGATCCAGTCCACAAGTACGGTCTTGTATTCAGCCCTGTCTCCTTGGTCTCTTCTAACCTGAGACGGTTCTCTCCAGACCTCTTCTGCTTTATCTTTTAAAATCGTATTGCATGTACTTACGGTGAAAGGGTTACACCGTTAGGTTGGCATTGAGTAATTTTTACATACACGATTCAGTGGTGTTTTCACCGTCATTATTGTCAGCTGGCGGTACCTTTTCCCAGACTGGTCTCCCTTCCCCCTTACCTTGTTCTCTGCCACTCCCCCTGCCCCCCCCTTTTGTTGTTGCTCTTGT